GTTTGTTTTATATGGGAGTTTTAAGACAAATCTTGATCAAATGTTACTCCGAGGTTTCTTACGGTAGTGCTAGAGGCCAGAGCAATGCCATCTAGAGAAAGAGTCTCTGAGTTGTTTGGGGCCAAGAACAATAACTCCAGTTTTGTCTGAATTTAACATCAGGAAATTGGAGCTATGGGAGGCACGGTGGTGTGGTGGTTAGCACTGTCGCCTCACAGCAAGAGGGATGCAGGTTCGATCCTGGGCGTGGGAGTCCTTCTGTGTGGAGTTTGCATGTTCTCCCCGTGTCAGCGTGGGTTCTCTCCGGGCACTTCCTCCCACAGTCCAAAGACATGCAGATTGGGGACTAGGTTAATTGATAACTCTAAATTGTCTGTAGGTGTGAATGGTTGTCTGTCTCTATGTGTCAGCCCTGCGATAGTCTGGCGACCTGTCCAGGGTGTACCCCGCCTCTCGCCCAATGTCAGCTGGGATAGGCTCCAGCCCTCCGGCGACCCTCAAGAGGATGAAGCGGTTAGAAGATGAAGATGCTCATCCAGGTTTTTATGTCTTTAAGGAATTTTTGAGGTTAAGTTAATTGATCTGTTTCTTTCGGCTTCATTGATAAATAAAACTGCGTATCATCCACATAAGAAGGGAAATTACTGAGTGATTTCTAATGATGTTACCCAAGGGAAGCATATATAGAGTAAATAGAATTGGTCTGAGTACAGAACCTTGTGGAACTCCAAAACAAACTTTAATACGTAAGGATGATTCATCATGAATGTGAACCAACTGAAATTGATTGGACAAAATAAGATTTAAACCAGCTTAGTGCAGAACCTTTTAGGCCAATTAAATGTTCCAGTCTCTGTAAATTTGATGGTCAATTGTCAAATGTGGCGCTAAGATCTAATAAAACAAGCAGGCCTGTTATAAAACTGAGTCTGCAACATGAGCACAATCCCATCAGTATTCTGGATCTGAATATTAAAGACTGAACTTCCACCTCTTAGAAAACCATAGGTCAGAATTCAACATTGCATTCATAGAGTTGATGATGAAAAATAACATCCTCTGTAGTCAGATACAAAGACACACATGTTGCCAAGATGTAACTCAGAGAGTCAAAGAGCTGCAGGGGTGATTGATTAAAAATCCAGAGGATGTTTGTCAGGCTCACAATAGAGCCTTATCGCTGAGGAATGCGTTCTGCCTGAAAATCAAAAAGACAGGGGCGGACACAAGAGCTGTATTTTGCCACACATTGCACATTGTTTGGGGTGATGTTTGAGGTAGCGACAGAATTAGACCAGCGAAAGCACGTGAAGACACCTGAACACGGTCTCGAGCAAGCGCGCACACGTGAATGCCGGTGTTGCTACCTCCTCTCCCCTTGGATCTCTGCAAGTGATGTGAGGACTCTAAAACTTCACATGAGCCTCCCTCGGCATATGGGTGAGTAGATAATGGCTGAATTTTCATTTTTGGGTGCACTATCCCTTTAAATTCGCCCAGTACTCATTTTTACTGAATAAAGCTTGAACGCTTAACTGTATAAATCAATGCAACCTCTGTTAGCTGCTGGCTGCACCCACTGGCTGCTTTGAGGTAACGATAACTAGCTGCTAACTGCTAACAGCTAACTTAAAGAACTCTCCTCCTGCTGGTTTCATCTTCTTTCTCTCCACATCCACTCCTCTCACTAGTGTCGTGGTAGTTGAGTCGTTTTGACATGATATTGATAACGATACAGCGTGTTTCAGGGTTCACGTGATGCACATAACTCCACCCATCTCCCCTGGAGAGCAGGTAGAGTGTAACGAGCTGAGAAGGGAGGGGCCCCTTTATTATTTAGTAGGCTTTGCTCCATAGTTATGTTGTTGTGGCCTTATGTCATATTTCAAAATAACTGTAGTAACATTATTAGTAGAAAATAGCAAAAGATCAAAATGTTTTCCTTCCCTCATTTGTGGCGCCCCCTGTGGATGACAGCACACTTAGCATTCACCTATACTGCTTGTGCCACGGTCTGACGCTGACGGCACCAACTAAAGCACAATGTACATCTATCTATCTATCTATCTATCTATCTATCTATCTATCTAATACCAATTTAGGGGGGCACACACACGCTGTGTTTTTTGCACCCTCAAATTCATTGTTTACAATGTAGGCGCAAATCAGGCGTTCTCTAACGCATGCATTCCCGAGTGCCTTTTTTCAGGCCACAACGGCTGGGCACGTAAAAAATGCAAACAAAAGTACACTGTTCATTCCAGGCTTTAAGGACCTCCCATTTGAACCCCCCGTTATTCAGTCCCCCGACCAAGATGCCCTGCTTTCACTCACTATCAGTTAAAGAAGGACCCAGCTGAAGGCTCTTACAGTCTAAAGTGGAAAAGTACAGATGATGTCATGATTTCTGCTGGTGGGAGTGAGTGTGGTAATTTAGTTTGAGGGGGAATCCAAGGGGTGACAGTCACAGTGTTGCCAAAGTAAACAAAGAGAAGATGAAATCAAGCTGACTAGATCAACACCGGAGCACTGTGGATTGGGGAGTGAGCTGCTATTGGTAGGGAAACTCCAGGATGGGAAATGTCTGGAGTGTGGAGTGACGGAGACCGTGCAACATGTGATGCTCTGGAGCCAGCTGTACACAGAAGAAAGGAAGATCTTGTTTGACGTAGTGGCTCAGCTGTAGAGTAAAGACATACTCCCCAAGGACTCTGTTAAGGGGAGACCTACAAGAAAACACAAATTACCAGGAAAATTAGTTTTCTTCACACAGCAGGCCTATATCCCGGGATTTAGGCCAGCAGGAGCCAACTAATACTTTGTGCTTGTGCGGTGGTGTGTCTTTGTCACTCTGCAGTTACACCTCCACAACACTTGTAGGCGATGGATGTTGTGCTGTAAAGTTTAGCTGATTCAAAACACACAGTAAACACACATTAAACATGACTTAATAGCGACAACTGCAAACACAAATACACAAATCAGCTTCACTATAACTCGCAACATTCACAGACAAACACTTGTCTTTATCTGGACACATTTTCCCCACAAATACAACATGCTAACGTTATTAGCACAAGCCTATGGCATTTTACATTGTATAAATTAGCCTAGCAGCTAGCAGACTTTTCCTCTGCTCATATAAAGCCAAGGACAACAGCAACATTTAACAAAGGTAACGGTACAAAGTTCGGCTCCACTGACAAAACAACTGTTTTATACTACACAAACATGCTAATGTTTTTAGCACAAGCCTATGGCATTTTACATTGTATAAATTAGCCTAGCGACAAGCTGATATTTCCCCTGCTCATATGAAGCCAGGATAAATCCAGAAGTATAAATAAGATGTGATGACTAGTGTAAACAGAGCAGAATGCACCAAACGCGCCTGGTCTGCCATAAAAATATGATAGAAGAAAATGAGGGCTCTTCTTTTGTAAAAACTAATGGATGGTGCTTTTATTCTGAAGGTTCCGTATCGGAAGTGATGTAGCTGCGTTGAATACCGGCGCGGAAGCTCACATCACAACTCGGCAGCACCGGAGAAAAAGGTAAACATGATTTTATTTGCGTGTGAGTACATGATAAGGGACACACTGACCACACTGTGAACACAGCAGAGAGTTAAATGATCCAACATTTAAAACAAAGAGCGACGTCAGGCTGCTAGTTTGCGCTGCTAAGCTAAAGCTAAGCTAACGTCTCTGGACGCCAAAGCACGGACAAACACCTCACGAGACATGTTACCAAGACAACAGCCTCCACCAAACGGTAACCGGTAACGTTAGCTAACAGCTAACGTTAACGTGATTTGTTGCCATCGGTGAGCTTTGATAGAAAAGACCCTGTTAGCGTTATCCAGATACGGAGAAGCTAGTTAGCTTGCTGAGGCTAACATCTCCCCACAGGTGTCTGTTTATGTTGGTATATTGTAACTTTATAAAGGTACGTACTGTACGTATTTTCGCGCGTGCGTTTTTAAGAGAAACTCCTGTGATCCTTAAATGATTAAAACTGACCTTATAATTTAAACAGAGTGCCCTGTCTGGAAGAATAAAGTGATATTAGTTAACATCATGTTTACTGTCAGATTAATGCTCAGTTTTCTGAGTCCTAACTTTAACCCAGGGTGTCTTCAGCTTCTTAAAATGTCTCAAAATGTCTTAAACTTCTTGTCTTGAATTTGAATTTGTGAGATCTCAATAGCCACAAACCTTTTATTGAATTTCATTTATTCATCTTTTCATGTCTTTTGTCAGAATGAGTCAGATTCATCTGTGTGAAAGTTTCTAATGTCACAAATCTTTAAACCTCCCGCTGAACCTAACACTGTCTTTTTTACTTTACACTGCACTCACCTGTTGGCAGAAATGTAGATGAACCTAACCTCCCCCTAGTCACCATATTCTTACACAAAGCTCACCTCTGTGTGGGACCGTATGCAAGACTCACCTTTATACTGACCTGCAGTGCTTTAATGAGAAAAAGGTGATTTGTCAAGAAAATCAGTCTGAAATATGGTTAGAAAAATATCAAAAAGCATTAGTGCATTAGATTTAAGTGACTGATACCTGTAGACACCTGGTCCGCTGGGTCCCAACCTGAGGGTCCCGACCCCCAGCGTGGGTTGACCTCCTTGATTTTAAGGGGTGTAAGAAAACTTTAAATACAGATATGTCATTTATTTCTGTGAACTAAATGAAACTGTTATTTCTAAAGTTTTTATGATCATTTTTGAAGATACAGGCCTAAACTTTAAAAACATTTCACAGGATGTTAAAGGGATAGTGCACCCAAAAATGAAAATTCAGCCATCATCTACTCACCCATATGCCGAGGGAGGCTCAGGTGAAGTTTTAGAGTCCTCACAACACTTGCAGAGATCCAAGGGGAGAGGAGGTAGCAACACAACTCCACCTAATGGAGGCTGACGGCGCCCCAGATTCAAACGTCCAAAAACACATAATTGAAACCACAAAATATCTCCATACTGCTCGTCCGTAGTGATCCAAGTGTCCTGAAGCCCCGACATAAAAAGTTGTTTGGAAAAACCTCATTTGAACTCTGTTTTTAGCCTCATTGTAGCCTGTAGCTCTGACTGCCTCTCTGAGCACCACGCTCACGTGTGCGTGCTTGCGCAAGACCGTGAAACATGGGCACCGCCTTCATGTGTGTTCAAGTGCTTTCACTGGTTTGCGCACAAGCAGGTACCCTGATGAAGACGGTCTAGTTGAAACGTTGGTACTTGAATAAAAGAAAACATTTTTGCATCGAGTCTTGGAGTGTGCGCCTGACATCTTTTTTCAAATTTGCATATTTTCGTCAATGGTTAGCACCTCTCCAACCCTGTGTGTTTCTCTTTGCAAGTCAAATGACCCATAAAGGCAGGAAACTGTAATTGGAACTTGATGACAAGTAAAATAAAGTTGAGATTGACTGCTGCAACCCCTCTTGAAAACTTTTTTTAAATCTGCCTTTTGAAAACATCTAAAATGAAGGTTAGATTCTCCGTCTAGTTTTATTTTTTCAAAATCCTAAATAAGCACGTGTAAAAAAATTGAGTTTCCCCTCTGGGATTAATTAAGTATATTAAACTAAATGAAATTACAAGGTATGTTAACTGCCAAATTGTATATTACGGTACACCTAAAACCGGTACACCGCTGCAAGCCCAGTACAAATAACAATGTGTGCAAAAATAAAGGCTGTTCCATACAAAAGATTTTACATTTCTTTGACAAGAAATTAATAAATCAGTTTACATCAAATATCTATTCTGTTTTTGTTCCTCAGTTTGTTTATGTTTCATATTGTTCTATAAGGATGTTGTGTTTCTACCTTTTTACATTACAGGGAGTTATTTCATTCATTGTCATCAGTTGGCAAATTTTGTATTTTAAAGTTGGATTCATTGCCTTTTTTTATTTTTTGTAGCCATGACGACAGACTCCTCACTTCTTAACTCAGAGCTGGAGTTACAGCAGCAGGAGGAGCTGTACCAACAGCTGCTGTTACAGGTAATGTTGCTCTGTTGCTTCATTAATTTATAATCAACTGAACTGCATGAGATGTTCATATCCACATATGGAGGAGGTCCTCCTCCCCAGAGTCTGCCATGTTGTTCTACAGTAGCCCAGAATGGACAAATCAAACACTGGCCTTACAGAGTTTTTGTCTCAGCCACCGTAGTTCATCTGTGAGCTTCACGCATGGGAGAAGTTTCAGTTGGTTGGAATCTGTAACCTGACTGTTAGATGCCAATAAATCCAACACGCCTGACCTTTAAAGTGAGACTGTAGTTTTTGCTTTAAGGCCCTGACACACCAAGCCAACGGTCGACCGTCGACCAAAGTCAAGCCGTCGGTGAGCGTCTGTCAGCCTAGTTTTTGCGGTGTGTCCCGCAACGTCGGCACTTCGGCGTCTGCGGCTTTTCGGCCGATTGAGCATGTTGAATCGGCGGCGGAGCTTGTCGGTGAGAGAGATCACTCTGATTGGCTGTTCAGGTTTTATGTTCTGACCCCTGTAGCGAGTGCATCTGCCTGTAGTGAAACCGGTGCTTCCTCCTCAGGCTCCACTTCACTCAGCTGCCCCACAGACCCGCTGCTTCTTCACACTTTAACCTGAATAACAACATACACAATAAAACTTGTTTTGGCTGCTTGTATCCATGATCTCATTCTTTTGGTCACTACCCAGAGCTCATGACCACAGATGAGGGTTGAGACGTAGATGTACCAGTAAATTGAAAGCTTCGCCCTCAGGCTCAGCTCCCTGATCACCACGACAGTCTGGCACAGCACCTGCATCATGGACATACTTCAGTCAGTAAATGGATTCCCCTCCCGTGCTTGTACACTGGGACAAGGACAGCAGTCCAATTAAATTTCTTAGTCAAGTGAATGTGTGGGAACCCTGATGTAGGGAAATACATTTATTTGCCTTATGTTCATTCGTTTCAGTCTTTTAATCGAACAAGAAATGAATGAACATGTAATCAACCCCAAAACGTTAAACACAGCAGGTTTGTTTTATTTGTGATGGTGCACAAGATGAAAACCCTCTTTGGGGCGTTCTGTTACAGATTTATCTTTTAGCGCTGGATGGATGATCTACATGCTGAGCAGGAACGCCTGCTTTGTGGCTCTCCAGAGTCCATTTGGCCTGCCAATGGACTGTGTGCAGAATTCCTGACCATCCCTCATGTAAACAAGGAGGGACTGTGATGTGTTACAACAACAGCCACTGTGTTTTTTTCACATGTAAAGTTCAAATACAAAGAAGCCCTTTGTACTTCATTAGCCATTTATTGACTTTTTAAGACATGAATGCATTTTTTGTTTAAGTCAGTTTTAAATTCAGGGAACCTTGTGCATCTTGTTTTTGTGGATCCAGTGAAGACACACTTTACAGGAAGAGAAGAGAAAAAAGAAGGTGACACCTTGCAATCAGCTCCACGTAGTAAAACCCTCCTCCACATAGATGACCTTACTGTGGCTCAACCGGCCACATCCTCAGCACATTAATGTTTATTCCTTTTTGTGTGTGTCACTTTGTCTTTCCTTTTCCACTTCATAAATGCTTCCTGCTTTATATAAACAGTGTGACACTCACGCATGTTTCTTCTGATGTAGTTTAATATGTATAAAACTTCCTGTTTGGGCTGCAAACCTCTGTGAACTTAAAGAGACTGCTGGTCATCTGTTTAGACAATGGGACAGATGCAGGCTGAAAATCCAGACTCCAAAGTTATACGGCCACAACCTGGTGAGTAGCTCCATGATACAAGTCATATTAAATCCTCACAGTGACACAGCTTGTTCATGGATTTGATTTATTGCATATTTTTGTCTTTCTGTCCCGTCACATCCTGTCTCTTTCCCTCCGTCTCAGGCATGTGTGTGAAGACGCTCTCAGAGCCAGACAAGCAGAAAGTTTTCGTCAACATCTGCCAGTCCAACTCTGTCCCGCTGCCACCAGACCTCTCCAGAGACGAGCTTGTGGAGCTGCTCCAATCAGAAGATCCCAGCGGCTACAGAGTTCCCATGAGCCTCGGCGAGCCACACACAGAAGTAGACAACAGTATGTGACTAAAGCCGGGTATAAGTATGTACACTGCTGTTTAAAGTCTGTAATTTCTACCCTAGTGGTAGAGTGTCTGCCCTGAGACTGGGAGGTCATGGGTTCAATCCCCGGCCGGGGCATACCAAAAACTATAAAAATGGGACCCATTGCCTCCCTGCTTGGCACTCAGCATCAGGGGTTGGAATTGGGGGGTTAGATCACCACATGATTCCCAAGCGAGGCACAGCTGCTGCTCACCGCTCCCTCAGGGATGGGTCAAATGCGGAGAACAAATTTCACTCAGGTGTGTGACAATCAGTGGAACTTTAACTTTAACTTAACTTTAATCTGCTGCCACAAACTGTGACTGGGTCCAGTCAGATGTGTGTGAGGACTCTTTTATATATCTGTCCAGTCTTTGATGGTTTTAGGTTGTAAAGAGTCCAAATGGATGGAGAACAAAACGCTGTGCAGTGATTCAACGACACTGACATCTGAAAGAAATAAAGATCCCTCTGAGCAACAGTTAAATAAGAACAGAAGAAAGCTTAGCATCACAGTGTGTGCAGATTTAGGCCCTGATCGCACAGGAAGTGTTTTAGCAGCTGAAGCAGCTTTTTGTAATTGTTTTTAATGAGAATGAAGATTCTTGCTCGCTCGTTGTTGCGTTGCTACATGTTTCATGTTTCTGCGCTCTAAGCACCTGGCGTTTTTGCCGGAGCGCTCTGAACTCCTCAAATTGATAAAACTTCAACTCAGAGCGGAAAAACACCCCATGGCATTTCAGCTTTTTCCCTGATTGTCCAATGGTATGATTTGAGAGGCGGGGCTTCTGTGGTGGTCACGACAACAAGTTCACGGTTGGTAAACAATGGAGGAGAAACTGGTGGTAGTGGTTGCTGGATACCCAGAGCTATAGGTTGTCAAACTGCCCCTGAGTCATCCTAAAATCTGCCTGTAAACGTCCATGATGGAGGAGAAGCTCCTGGACCAACTGGTGGTACTCCCCATGATCCAGCCTCTTTTTTAGGGTCTCATGTACCCACACAGATCTCTGTTTATCTGCTGACAGCCTCTCACCCTCAACCAGAGCTACACACAGTACCCTCTGCCTCAACATGGCAGCAGCTACACACTGATTACTGCAGGATACACACAATAAATAAAAGGTAGATTGTTTACACAGAAAGGTTAGGGTAAGGAGGTGATGGTTGATTCAACCTGGACCTTATTTCCCTGTTTAAATTGGACAGAGAGATGTGAACAACACTTTCTGAAATTGTTCCAGTAGTGAGCAAGCGGGCAGCGGCTGGCAGCACACGGGGCAACTATTGAGTGTCACTGTGTGTCCATTAAAAGTGTTATTGTAATGAATATGGAAACAGTAGGATGAAAACCTTCACTGCCTTTTTCTTCTCTCTCCTCGTCCTCTCTTCATGCGTATACTCCGTCACAAATAAATACAGGCGATGATAGAATTCAAAGGCCTGAGCCACGTTGTTGAAGTCACGTCAGTAATCATCCATGGTATTGAAAATCTGTTTGATAACACTAAAACACATTTTCTATAAACTCCTCCGGTTGTTGTGCTCTGTACAAATCTCACTCATGTTTCCACTGTTGTTTTCCTGCAACAAGTGACATCTTGTGATATCTCAGGAGGAGACTTCAGCTTAATGAGGCAGTAACAAACAGAGCGGATCAAGTGAAAGTTAAAGAGACGCTTCAGACACTTAAAAAATAACCACTTTTAAATTCCTCCGTCATGTCACAAAGCTACTGTGTTGTATTTTTCTGTGATTAATTAGTCAAAATTAACATGTTATTATGACAGCCTTAGTTAAAAGTGATATTTGGGTTTATTTTATTTTTTTTAGTAGATATGTTTTAGTGGCTAAAATACATTTCACCGCGGTCTCGTCCACAGCAGCACATTGTGAAGCTTCTGTGCCGGCAGATTTGGTTTATCAAAGACACCGGCAAAGCCACACAGAACATGAAGTAAGCACAGAGGAAATGTTAGATATGTCGGACCATTGTGTTTAACTATATGTCTTTAAACTTTACAGATTCAACACGTCTGCTGATTGCACATATCTCTGAAAATGTGTTTTTGGTAGCTGAACGTACCACAGACGGACAAATCAAATCAACTAACATTCCTATACCTGATAAAATCATAAACATAAACCACCACACACTGAACTGAATTACTGTGATTTTATTAAGAGAGAACAACACATTTCGCCCGTGGCTTCTTCAGCTTCGCTCAACAGAATCACGCGAGCACTCACAGGTGTGCCAAATATACACGGGTCACATGACTTATCATCACAGTTATGTCACTTTTCTTTTTAAACATTTTTTCTTTCACATTCTTCAGAAACATTTTTGAAAAGATAATTTTCAAATTCTCCAAAAAGCAAAATAAATTTAATCAAAATCACATAGATAAAACAAATGAAGCAAGATTCATAAAGAGTGCAAGAGTCACAAGAATAATATGTGAGTTAACCTCATCCCATTACGTAAATGACTGAGATGAAGATTTTATAAAGGAAGCTAGACTGCAGGTCCTACTGCAGGGGGGTGACAGGGATGTGACTGTGGATCTACATTACCTGTCGATGAAGATATAAGTTAACATTCATACAGTCCCTCCAGAAAATCGCCATCTTGCGATCGCAATAATTAACACAAATTCATAGTAAGTCTGAAATATTTGCGGGGGCTTGCAGTTTTTCAAAAGTCCCACAATTTTTCCCATACAGTCTATGATTTTTCCACGTCTTAATGCATTTTCCGGCCGACCGGAAGTCATCGCACATGCAACGTCATTTGAAGCGTCATCAGACGCGTCATCAAATGCGCTAATGGCATTGTAGTATACATGACATGGGTCACGCGCCGGTGACGTCATAGGCGATAGAAACATGGGATTTTGACTGGCGGCAGAGCTCTTCACACACATAAAGTGTAATAAAAACAAATCAATTGAGTCTTTCCCCTTCGGATGAAATGGCCAGTCAGGCTACATGCTACGGAGAGAGTTTAAGAGGTCCTTCGGTACGACGAGAAAGTGAAAATGAAAGGCGTGTGCCCTTTTCACCTGCCACCCTCTGTGTAGACGAATGACCCTGTCAATTCATTCATTCATGTCCTGTTGAATATCTCATGTCATTGTTTAGATCAACTGACTTTAGCTAGCTAGCTAACGTTAGCCAACTAACCTGCGATGAAGTGCCTGCCACAGACGTAACGTTAGGTATAGTGACTGGCTGGATCTCACAGCTTTCCGTCTTTACCCTGCCGTTTGATGGCTGTGAGCCACAGATTTCTTCTTTCCTCATTCTTCACTCTCTCCGGGAGCAAAGAAAATCGCAATTCTGTTTTGTTTTTTTTGTTTTTTTAATTGTTTGCTGTGCAGTGAGCAATGCAGCAACTTTTTGGGATTATGAACTCCTAGTCGCGACTAGTGTCTCTCCCGGGTCAAGTTCAAAACTTTCACCCAAAAGGGGGCGTGGCCGTTGTTAAGGCAGTGAGTGACGTTGCGTTGAAGTCATCTTATAGATGTAGACAGATGCAATGCCATTAGCGCATTTGATGACGCTTCAAATGACGCTTCAAATGACGTTGCATGTACGATGACTTCCGGTCAGCCGCAAAATGCGGAAAGAACATCATTGTAGCTGACATGTTGTGTTACAGTCACATTGTCTGGTTTGAGAGCAACAATATTCACTTGGGATGTTTTGCAATGTTTCTGGAGTCCATGTTTTGAAACTAATTAAATAAAACTAAAGAAGAGAACTATAAAAAACGTTTGCAGCTATTTTGTAATATTCAGTATGATTATTACATGAGTTATTTTTTTGGAGGTAGTAGTCTAACAAAATCACATTTTTTTTCTCCTTTTGTCATTAGTCGCAATTTTTGTCATTTGCTGCAATTTCCTGCAAAAAATCACATAGAAATGCTGCAATTTTTATCACAAGTTTTGACAAAATTGGCCACAAATTCAAGGTTTTTTTGCTGCGAGGTCCTGAAGGGACTGATTATAACACAGAAAAGGACTGAACTCTTGTGTTTCATTAAGTCCACGTGGCTCAAGTGTTCAATTCATGGATCCAAAATTCTTAACTTCTTCAAAGTTGGTTGATCAAATTGCCAACTCTTGGGTTGGATTGGGTTGTACTCTTTCAACAGTTTTAACCCGAAGCAATGCAACTCTGACCTTTTGTCCTCATAAAAATGTGCATGCAGGCAGCATTCTTAATCAAGGATCCTTTCACATGAACACAGTGTGTCTGAGGACAGATGGAACAGATAAGATCCCTTGTCTTAATGTTTCCACAGAGTCAGTGTGCACAACTGTTCAAGTGTAATGATCTATAACCACGAAAAACAGCAATGATGGAGGTGTTCAGCAGGTCAGGGTGCACTTTGTTATGTTAGGGATGACACTTTCAGTACCTGCAGCTGTCACAGTGGTTTATGGCAGGAAATAAACATTGTCACACTGGAGTACGTGTTAAAGGCCTGTGGCTTCCCTGTTGAGGCCTGTGGGCTCAAATATGGTTCCAAACTCCTGGTGCAGTAAGTCATAGAGTCTTGTGTGGAGAAATTCCAGTTTATTCACAGCAGGCTTTGGCAGTCATGTTCCCAGAGGCACCCCAACCCTGCACACCAAGAGAACATGCCAAGCAAACTTACAGTGGTGTGCCAGAGATTGTGTCTCCAGCAGATTGTTTTCCCTGTTTATGCAACACTTGCATAAATCCAACGCTGCTCTGCTGGTCTGTGTGTCCTGGAAGATTTCAGTGTCCCAGATGAACGAGAGAGATCATCATCAAATCTAATTTATGCTTACTGAGCGTAAAAACGTTTTACAGGCAGGCTCAGTAAAGAATGACGTCATCAAGACCTGTGGATTTAAGGCAACGGTTACTTATACGTTATATTTCAAATAAAATGTGTTCCATCAATCATCTGAAAGTCGGACTAATACACTCAGATAATGTGACTGGGAGTTGAATTCCTCCTGCATGAGGCTGGAAATAGGACAGTTGTGTAAAGTGCGGTGGGGCGGCGTGTCCAGGAGCGCTGACGCGCATCTAGCTGCCGTCATGGTGTCCGAACAGATTGAATTCACGTGTCTGTCTCTGTGTTTCAGACTCTCAGGCCTGCACAGCGTATGATGTCGTCATCAACCAGGAGTTTTTCCAGAAGTGCCAGGTGTGTGTGTGTGTGTGTGTGTGCGTGCGTGTGTGTGTGTGCGTGCGTGTGTGTGTGTGTGTGTGTGCGTGTGCGTGTGCATATGTGGGCTTGCTTTGTCATCCATTCAAATATCTACTTTTGTAATTATTAAAAGGAAGAGAAAATAGTGAAGATGTTGTACCTGCTCTGGATGATGTGGGAAGGTTTATATTTCTGTATAATTAGTTAGTAATTAGAGTTAGTTCATTTAGTTTTAAAATTCATCACATCTGCCAGAATTTATTTATTACCTGACAAACTGGAGAAACCACTTGAGCACAAGCAAATAGCAATCATAGATGAATTGACTGTTTGATAAACCTCTTTCAGTTAGTCAGTTGTGAGTCCACACGTTTTTAGAAAATTATGTGAAATGTAAATTTATTTCTTTTCATTCAGAGGAAGTGTACGGTTTATGTCTTTAGCATTTTAGAAAATAAACTCAGGTGTGTATTTTATATTTTCTGCTCAAGTATTGATTGATGACATGTTTGTTCCTGTGAATCTTCTGTGCTGCGCTGATCTGACCAGCAGATGGTGTCACAGTGCCACAGTTATATCCTGTTCTGCCTCCAGTGAATACACTCACCGGCCACTTTATTAGGTACACCTGTTCAACTGCTCGTTAACACAAAAAGCTATTCAGCCAATCAGGTGTCAGCAGCTCATTAACATTTAGTCATGAAGACATGGTGAAGACGAGCTGCTGAAGTTCAAACGGAGCATCAGAATGATGAAGAAAGGTGATTGAAGTGACTTTGAACGTGGCATGGTTGTTGGTGCCAGACGGGATTTTCAGCACAACCATCTCTAGGGTTTACAGAGGATGGTCCCAAAAAGAGCAAATATCCAATGAGCCAAAATGCCTTGTTGATGCCAGAGGTCAGAGGAGAATGGCCAGACTGGTTCAAGATGATAGAAAGGCAACAGGAAGTCAAATAAGCACTGGTTCCAACCAAGGTGTGCAGAAGAACATCTCTGAAGCAACAACACCTTGTCCAACCTTGAAGCAGATGGGCTACAGCAGCAGAAGACCACACCAGGTGCCACTCCTGTCAGCTAACAACAGGAAACTGAGGCTACAATTCACCAAAACTGGACAATAGAAGATTGGAAAAACCACATTCAGATGGAAGCATGGATCCATCCTGCCTTGTATCAACGCTTCAGGCTGCTGCTGGTGGTGTAATGGTGTGGGGGAGATTTTCTTAGTACCAACTGAGCATGGTTTAAACACCACAGCCTACCTGAGTATTGTTGCTGAGCGTGTCCATCCCTTTATGACCACAGTGTACCCATCTTCTGATGGCTACTTCCAGCAGGATAACGCACCATGTCACAAAGCTCACATCATCTCAAACATGACAATGAGTTCACTGTACTCCAATGGCCTCCACAGTCACCAGATCTCAGTCCAATAGAGCACCTTTGGGATGTGCTGGAACGGGAGATTCTCATCATGGATCAACTGTGTGATGTCATCATGTCAATATGGACCAAACTCTCTGAGGAATGTTTCCAGCACCTTGTTGAGTCTGTGACACCAAGAATTAAAAAGACCAGGTACTAGCAAGGTGTACCTAATAAAGTGGACACTGGGTGTAAATGCTCAGTGAACACAAACTGTCCTCACAGTGTGTAACAATATGAAATGTGTGTGTCTTACAGAAGGATCCTCTGTTCCAGCAGTTTGTAATTCTGGTGTCTTTGGAGGGTTTGGAGAATAAATACAATCTGGAGCTGAGCAGAGGTCAGTGTGTGTGTGTGTGTGTGTGTGTGTGTGTGTGTGTGTGTGATTAAATGAGTGTGTGGGGTGCAGATGATGAAATTGTTTTCTGTGTCTCTGCAGACTGGAAGGTGCTGAAGAACAGGAAGTTCTTGGGTTCTGTTAGCGAGCAAAACATCAGAACGAAGAGCCGACCGGTAATTCAAGAGCTGCAGCCTCAGTACGTCCCTCTGTCTGTCAGTCTGTCCCTCTGTCTGTCAGTCTGTCCCTCTGTCTGTCAGTCTGTCTCTCTGTCTGTCAGTCTGTCTCTCTGTCCGGATGGACTGCTAACAGTAAACAGCCTGTTGCAGAGTTCTTACAGAAATAGAGACACAGTGTGTTTCCCAGTGACATTATGATTTGTCTCAGTTGCTCATATCTCCCACTCTTCATGTTTCTCCTCCAGGGAGAGCTCCCCTGCGACAGCTCAAAGGTAAACCTCCTCTCTATCTGTCCCTCACATGTTTTATTGATGCAAAGAGCAGGTTGTCAGACGAGTCGTCTCTTTATCTGCCCCTTGTGTCTCATTTCTGCTCTGTCTGTTTTTAATCTCACCGTCTCCAGACCAGAGTTCACGTTGCTGGTGGAGCCCCCTGCTGGTGATCCTGAGTATCTCATTGCAGAGATAAAGCTACCTGGAGTGGTGAGATACATGATTCACGCAAACATTAACACTCTCCTGCCTCTCCTTTTCTCTCCTCTGCTCCATGTAAACGTGACTGTCCTGTACTGTGAGGCAGGATATAAACAGAAGAGGCCTAAAATCCAAAACACATAGGACAAAAAGGGCTCGGTGATGTGGACAAAAAACATCGTATATAGTCATTTTATCACCCCTGTGAGAATTTGCTCGGATAAGAGCACATCAACCAACATACCAAAAGGCCTCAGCCCTGCAGACGAGCTCCTAAATCATTTGATGTTGTCATGTTAAATGTTCTCACGTCACATCTGATATCAGCAGTGACACAGAGAGACAGTCAGTGTGTTTGAGTCTCAGCTGAATGAACGTGTCTCCTGTGCAGCCGTCGTCTCGCTCTCTGGTTCTGGACGTTGGAGAGGACCGACTGGTGCTGACGGCTCGGCCCTCGCTCTTCCATCTTGACGTCTTCCATCCCTTCCTCGTCGACCAGGAGAACAGTGTGGCTCAGTACAACAGAAGCACCCAGGTACAGAAAACACACATGCAGACAGTATGTACAACACACAGCTAAATGACACACACAATTTAACCTGCAAACAGAATAGGGCTGCAAAGATTAGTCGACTAATCCGCTATTAAAATAATTGGTGACTATTTTAGTAGTCGACTAATCGGTTTGAGTCATTTCTCATATAAAAGTACTATAAAGTACCCAAATACTCTTATTGCAGCTTCTTACGTTCAGATATTGGCAGCTTTACACACTCTCCCGTGATGGTGAACTCAAACCCTTTAGCGTGAGTACGAAACAAGACATTAGATGACATCATTTTGGGGTTTGGGAGAGACAGACCGACATTTTTCAACATTTTAACACATTTTTCAATAAAATAATCGAAGAAATAATCGACAGATTAGTCGACAATGAAAGTAATTGTTAGCTGCAGCCCTAAAACAGAACAGGTGAGTCACACAGTGACTATAATGACTATACATTTACATCACATCACATCGAAACACAGGTAAACAAGTACAATACACACACACACACACACACACTGTAAACTTTGTTCCTGTTTTCTTTCCTCAGATCCTTACAGTCACTATGCCCGTGGTGCCTTCATGAAACTACAGAAATAATGTAGAATTATTTATTTAATTGTTAAAAAAGGATGCTGAGATAATAAAGGTGTTTTTCATAAAGCCAGTTTTCTCTGTGTGTTTTAATTCATGACTTGAATCCCAGTTTAAACAGCTGCAAAGTCTGTCAGAAGTTTTTCTTTATGTAGGCACAAGTTTCCACGCACAGATTAGCTCTCGCACTACTGGTCTTGTCTGCTGACATCTGCAGCGATGCAGGCGCTGCACCAGACCGTCGTGGCGAAGAGGAAGCTGAGCCTGAAGGCAAGGCTTTGGATTTACTGGTCCATCTCCGTCCCAACCCTCACCTGTGGTCATGAGCTCTGGGTAGTGACTGAAAGAATGAGGTTGCAGATGCAAGCGGTGGAAATGAGTTTCCTCTGTAGGGTGTCTGGGCTCAGCCTTAGAGATAGGGGGAGGAGTCAGACATCTGGATGGAGCTTGGAGTAGAGCCGCTGCTCCTTCACGTTGAGGTGGTTCAACATCTGATCAGGATCCTCCTGAGCGCCTCCTGTTAGAGGTGTTCCAGGCACGTCCCACTGGTAGGAGGCCCCGGGGCAGACCCAGAACACACTGCAGGGATTATATATCTCATCTGGCCTGGGGACACCTCGGGGTCCTCCAGGAGGAGCTGGAAAGTGTTGATGAGGAGAGGGACGTCTGGGGTGCTTTGCTCAGCCCGCTGCCCCTGAGACCCAGCCCAGCATAAACAGATGAAAATGGATGTTTCTGTTCTTGTGATTGTGAAATAGGTGTTGGATGAATAATCAGGTAGCATCAGAACTGAAGAGGTCAGTGACGATGCTTTTAATCTCTGCAGTTAATCTTTCTGGGAACTTACTCAACTAACAGGCAGGGTTGACACTTAACAGTCAAATGTGAGGGTGAAAAACAGAAACTAGAAGGGCACTCGTGGAGCACAGACCTCCACAGAGGCTTAAGGCACAATCTCACAGTGTTAACGAAAGTGTAAAATAGTTTGTGCAACTGGCCTGTGATTCAGGTTCTTCTTCTTCCTTCTGACAAACAAACGAAGCCAGAAACAAAACCTCCACGACTGATGAAAAAATGCTTCAAATGTCGTTTCAACAAATTTCATATCGTTAACAATTTTAACCCATCAGCACCAAACTTTCAAACACGCAGCTTGTTTTAATAAAACTGTTTTGTCCTTATCTTTGATGTGTTAATCACAAAATACAAAAGTAAAATGTTCTGATAACTTTGGCCACAAATCAAAGTCCCATACCAGGCTTGTTATTTTTCACAGCGTACCTTTCACTCCCACAGTGACAGCTGGAGGTTTCCCTTCATCTGTCGTCTAGTTGGCCTCTGACTGAAGCTCTGCTGAGTCTCAGTGATACTGGAGCTGTTGAGGGAGGGGGCAGTGTTTCTCTTTCATGTTCCACGCCCAGATTTTTCACCAGCGTCAGACGTCAGCTGCCAGAGTCAGCAGAGGTTCCACGTTTTCAGGGGCTCTGGAGTGTGTGTTTGCTTTATTACAAGTTGTAAAACGTCCTGAGAAAAGTCAGAATCAATCAACATAGTTGCTTTAAGTGCGAAGGTTTTCTTTCTAGATTATTTTTATGGCTTTTTTGCGTTTTATTGGAGAGGACAGGATGAGTGTGAAAGAGGGAACGACATACGGCAAGGGGCAATAGGTCAGAATCAAGCCCACAGCTGCTGCGGTGAAGGTGTAGCCTTTGTACATGGGACACCTGCTCGACCAGATGAGCTACTGGGTGCCACTGTAAGTTGTTTTTTTTAACTTAAGGACAGTAGTTTTATCCAGCAGCATGTTCTCATTCCAGGTAGTTAAATACTGACACTTAAAAGAGGCAACAGACAGGATTCAGGGTTTTTTTTTTTTTAGCTTGGCACCACCTAGTGTCAGTGGTGTTGCGTTGCACTGTCGCAACGACCAAATTGAGCGTGGGGATCAGAGATAATGAATAAAATGCAGGCTGTAAAGCCACCAGTATACAAAAAACAAATAGTAATGCAAATAACTATAGCAGAATGCACAGTACCAGTACAAACAGCTCACAGTAAATGATACCAATATGTACAGTATCAGTACAAACAACAGTAGACACAGTGGAATTATACCAATATGCACATGTAAACAGTCCCCATTCTAGAATAAACACTGCAGTATGGAAACCATGCGGCCGGTTGGAGCTCAAATTGAATGGGAAACAAAGTCCAGTGTTCACTTAGCTGGGCGTAACTTAGCTGGGCGATGTCCGTGGATAGCTGCCTCCATGAGAAGAGAACAGAAGGAAGGGAGGGGGGTATCACTGTCCGAGGGCTGCCGTAGAATGGCAACCAGGATGTCAGCCGACCAACACTCGCTACCCGCTCCCTGGTTGCGGCGATTTGCGATGCTGGCCAGCTAGGAATGAACTAGCAGCCAGTACAGTACAGTCCTCTCTGGTCTAGCTAACATTTAGCAGTGTTACTTACTGATCCATTAGAAAGAAAGCTAGCTGGACATGGGTTTTGAAGCCTCTTTGGTCACAGAGCTCCCTCCATCTCTTGAACGCCTGACTGAGGTTTACTCTTGTTTTTCCTCTTCTTTTATCACTCTCCTTTTTGCTCTTCTTTGCCTCCTCACACAGAGGAGCTCCTTTTCTTTTGCTAGGCCGTTTTTCACTTGTCTGCAAACTTTGTCCGTCTGTTATTGTGCTCGTGATTCAACTATCTCATGCCCAACTCCTCATAAGGACCAGCTCCAGTCCCTGATTGGCTGACCGACCAGTTTCACAATACATGACGTGTTTCCTGCCATAAAGCAGATTTTTTCCGTGAAATTTCGCCCCCGGTGGCAGAAGCTTATTACAGAGATTGCAAAGCCACTATGTAACCTATGTAAATGCTGACAGTGTGATTTTACAGTGGACACTACCCTGTGCAACCCACATTATTTTCATCATGATATATTTAGGAGAAGATGCTGTCTGTTGCCTCTTTAATCACACCCCTCAGTGTGATAGTGACGGCAAAGGCACCCTTTAAACCCAGTTTCCACCAAACACTTTTGGTACAGTACCTTTGGAACCAACTGTAACCCTTCAGACATGGTACCTACACCCTGACGCCTTGTTTCCACCAAGCAGTCGGTTCAGTTCAGTTCACATTTCTTCATTTGTAAAGTTGTGGATGGTCCCAACAGAAGCGTTCCTTAGCGTCCCCATGTTTGGTCCCCCCTCTGTTGGGGTACCTAGCACACAGATCTGGTACTAAAAGGTGGAGCTAGAAACCCTGCAGTCTGATTGGCCAGTAGAGGACGGTCACTCTGGTTTTATGTAACCTCTGTTCATACATCAGTAAACTAGAATGAAAGAAAAAAATGACTTCATTCACTGGGCCGACTGCCGGCAACTTATAACACAGCGTCACTTTGACCAATAGGAACACAGAGCAATCTGCTGCCGTGGAAACTGAACGACAACAATACCCCAGCCTTTTAGACAGACGTTAGCACACAGAGTAAAAATGTAAATGTAGCCACTCTTTAGACTTTTCACAGTATCTTCACTTAAAGCAGCTCTTACCTTTCCTGCATTTCACACAGCACTTCGAAAAAATTTGACAACTCAAAATCGACAACTCCCGCCTCACTCCAAAGGCCTACTCCATTTCGTCCTCATTACTAGGCGTTGGCATGGTAACATTAGATACACAGAAGAGGAGGGCGAGTGTAACGTTACAATCAAGTCAGTCAAACGCAACCCCGGAGTTTTAAAACTCAAGTGATGACTGATGAGTTTTAGAATAAGGTTACAGTGCTAACGTTAGATAGTAGCGCTAACGTTACTAGTAAGTGGAAACGCACAAGGAAGATAACNGATGACTGATGAGTTTTAGAATAAGGTTACAGTGCTAACGTTAGATAGTAGCGCTAACGTTACTAGTAAGTGGAAACGCACAAGGAAGATAACGTTAATGTTTCAGAGGCTACGCTACAGTAGGCTAACGTTAGCTGTTAGCAACTGTGCTGTGTTGTCATATATAACGTTATATGTTATAGTAGAAGCAAACTAAACATAGCGTTACCTGTCCTGCACGATCAAACACAACCCCGGAGTTTTGAAACTTATCCAAGGTCAGTGAAAACTGATGAGTTTTTTAACATAACGTAAACGCTAACGTTAGATAGTACTGGTGACTGGCAACAAACAAGGAAGATAATACAGAGGCTAACGTTAGCCATTAGCAACTGTGCTGTGTTGTCATATATAACGTTATAGCCTATGTTACATTAGAGGCAAACTAAAAATACCAGTCCAGCAGAAACTCTGCGACCATCTCGTCCCTTTTTGTCTCAGGATGAAGCTGCATCAGTCGTCGCCATCGCTCGAAAGCAGAGCCGATGTTGACCCGAGATTTGGCTCTTGCAGCATCGAGTTCTCTCTCAGTGTTAGCTTTTTCTCCTATATTCTTTCTTTTGCCAACTGATTTCCCTGTTGGAGCAGCTGGAGGTGGAAGCAGTGGTCCGAATTTGTCTGCCATTATTACGGAGAAAAGTTTATATCCACAAGCGTCCCTGTTACTAGCCTATTTGTTGTCTCAGTCGGAGGCCTCCACGTGGGGAAGACAGACAGGATGCTCGGCCAATTCAGACTGAATGCAATGATTGGTCGGAGTTTTCTTAGAACCATATGAGAATGGTATGATTATGAGTTTTTATCTCTGGTGGAATTCGCCTACATTTAAGTGTGCCATCAGCTTATTAATAGCTTTTTAACCTAAACAAAGAAAAGTGTAAAATTTCCAGAAAGGTAAGTGTCGCTTTAATATCTGTGACCTCAGATGTCAGCAGAGGAGCATTATAATTTAACACTTTAATTTAAGCAGCGTAGCAGCACAGTGACCTCCACAGCTTGAGGTCAGAACGCACGTAGCCAAAGCCGCGGTCAGTTTGTGATGTCATGTGGTTACTTGGTGCGAGGGCTGGAGCTGGTTCTGTGTAGTGGAAACGTCCCCTTTCATGGAAAAAGAGTCGCTCTTCTATTTCTGGATCTGTTGTGGTCATCCCTCTGTCTGCCGCTCCCCTCCCTCCAC